CTGTGTTTTGATAACGCTTGTAGGCCAATAGCTTCTATTGAAGCAGAATGATTAATAGTGGCAATTAATTGCAGACGGCTGTGATCGATAATTTCAGAGGGGATATATTTGCAATAATGGAAAGTTTTTGTCTGTGTGGGGCTCGGCGCGGTATGGTTTTTAGTTGGTAGCGATTTTCTTCTCTGTAATTAGTTGTCTTTTATTAAAGCAGCAACGTCTAAAGCTGACATTGGAGTTAAAAAAATATACTTAATGGCTTGCTTTTGTCTACTACCGACTTTTATAGCCATATTTGTTTTTATTAGAGAAAAAAGAGTAAGATTTTTATCTTCCACTTCCTTTAAACTGTGTTAAACTAAAAACAGGAATTAGATAAATTCTATTTCCATCCTTAGAAGCAAATGTTTCGTTTGGATGCATTCACCGTTAGCTGTATTTAATTAAATATAGATCTACAATAATGCCAAAAATTAAAAGATCAATAGAATTTCCGAAATTTTTCAGTGATTTTTGACAGTCTGTATTTAGGTGAAAAATGGTCGTATCGGGAATTAAAAAAAGGCATTTTGAAGCGCTAAGGTTCTAGTTTTTAAATCTTTTGGGTCGAAATTTTTTAGGGGTGACTGTTATCATGCAATTCTAAGAAATACCGCGAATTGCAAATTTTTTTCCAAGTCCACGAACTTGGAAAAATTTTTATCAGCTAAGCCATTGCATGGACCAGATAGCTTGTTTATTCAGATTCAATTTCCTTTTTTTTAAATTTCGGTACGACTATTTTTCATCGAAATATCAGACTTTTAATGGAAAAGGATCCTTTTATCTTCATCTTCAATGATCGAAATCTCGGCGACAGTTGCTCGTACAGAGAATTGAAGGGCAGTTTCGAAAACTGGAATAAATTTCCTATAACATGCTGCCGCAACTTTTCGCAAATGTTTTTTTTTTTCATATTTTACACGAATTTTAAGACAGGAAAAAAAAAAGTGTAGTATATGGTTTTTTAGAAAATTGGCGGCTAAATTAGAAATATTCTCGAAATGACTAATGTTAAGCATGACTTTTACAGTTCGATATACCCAGAAGAGCCCTGTGAAGTTTCATGTCGATCTAGGGAACCGTTTCCTTGTTTCAAACGGTCAAATTTTGAAAAAAAATTAATGGTCACGTTTTTTAATCATGATTAAAATGGAAAAAAAAATTTTTGAGGTTTTCTCACATTTTTACCGCAAATAACGTTTAAATTGATGGAAAAAAAAATCTAAAATTTTATTTTGTTTTTTTGAAAAACCTTCCGGACATTGAAGAAAACAAAATCGAATTTTTTCCAGTACGATTCGGCTTTTTCATCCTATGCTTCTGTTCATCAACTTTTAATTAAATTAAAATTAAAGTTGATGACGCAAATCAGATTTCGATCCCGATTCATACCGCTTTTTGAGAAAAATTTCTAATTAATTTTTGCGCAGTATGTAATCACTTAAAAATAGTTTTTTTTCCAAAATTACCCTATTTCTTCCCTAAAAAAAAATTCAGAAAAAAGTCCAGAAAAAGAAAAAAAAATTGCAAAATTTTTTTGTCACAGTATTTCTTAGAACTGCATGATAACCGTCGTTCCTAAAAAATTTCGACCGAAAGATCTAAAAACTAGAATCTTCAAAATGCTTTTTTTATTCCTGACCATTTTTCACCTAAATACAGTCTCAAAAATCACTTAAAAATTTCGGAAATTCTTTTGACCCTTTAATTTTTTGCATTAGTTTATATTTTTACGCAGATACAACCACAGATCACAGAAACAATGATACAACTTGATAACATTGTTCACGACAAAATTGAATAAAATGGATGTTCTGCGGAATGAGCATGCAAAGGGAATTAAAAAATTATTTATATACGAAAACGTTAAAAGAATTCAGAATTTTTAGAAGATTTATTATCCATGTACTCTTCCCATTTGTTTCAAGTGACAACCTTGACACTTTTCAAAAGGATATCTCAAAAGCTGCATATAAATTGTTTCATTTCTACACGTTTTGTTCCGTCAAAGAAGAGACAATGTTGCTAATACTTGGTGGCAAACAAAACGTAATAGTAAACTTCAAGAGCAGTGCGTAGTTAAATAAATGTCTATAAATAACCATATACAGTGTGTCCCCGGATAGGCTACCGCACTTTAAATATATACGTTACTATCTATTTGTGTAGGTCCTGCGGTACTATATTTCCGATATATGTCTAAATATTCGATTACAATAAAGGATCTCTTTTTCTTTGTTTTTGTAGTTGGCAGCAATCTATTTCCCATCTTCCAATATCTCCAATTTTTAGTTGAAGTAATTCGTCACTTCGACAAGCCCCAGATATGGCAAAAATCATTGACACCTAAAATAATAATAGTCGGTATTTCTCGTTTACAAAAATATTTTGTTCATAATTTATGTTAATAAAATAAAAGATTGCCTTAATTATTGTAGTTTGTTAGGATATGCTGATAATTTTAAGCTATTTTTACCTATTCGTGATGTTACTGATTGTCTAAAACTTCAGAACGATCTTGATTCTTTTGTAATTTTTTGTGAAAACAATAATTTGTTTATTAATATCGTAAAATGCCATACAATCACTTTTACTCGAAATAAACATCCTTTCTTATATCAATATAGACTTAATTTTAAATCGTAAAAATGAAATTAGAGATCTTGGAGTGATTTTTGATAGTAAAATGTTATTTGATGTTAACAAACTTATATCTAACACACTTAAGATGCTGGGTTTCATTATGAGGCAGTCGAAACAGTTCACTAATTCTAAAGCCATATTGCTTTTATATTACACGTTTGTATTTAGTAAAATTAATTTTGCTTCATCAGTTATATGGAATCCTCAATATAATATAGATATTAGTCACATTGAAATGATTTTTAAAACATTTTTCTTTCAAGTGTAGGCGAACTTTGATCGACGACAATTTTCATAGATTGTGTGCTGAATATATGTATTATAACTTTAGCTAACAGGAGAGGATTAGCGGATGTTATTAACCTGTATAAAATTATTAGTGATAAAATCGACAGTGTCCAATTAATTATTAAAATATTTTTTAATATACCATGCAGGCCGTTCAGGTCCTACGACTTATTTTTCATTCCTTTTAAGCATACCAATTCCTCCGCAAATTCTCCTCTGTGCAGAATGATGCGTTTTTATAACGATATTTGTAGCAGTTTAGATTTATTTTCTACAACTTTTCTACGTTTCATTTAAGAGATTGCTCAAACATATACTTCATTTATAATATCTTTTATCCACGACTATTGTATAATGTACCCATTATACGTCTTTAATCACGGCAGTGATTAATGAGTCATTAATCACTACTGTCAGATGCTTCCTTGATTTAGCTATAATATTATATTGTTCTGCTACAATCAATCGGTTTTTAAAATTTTATCGTGTAAACAACTAAATATTTTCAATTCAGTGCTGTACATATAAAAAAAAATTAAAAAAGTGAATTTTCCTAGACCAGATTCGAACCCGGGACTCGCGGTCGGAGGGGAAGGAGCATGTACACTGAGCCATCAGCGACTTCGTATATGGAAGTTGTATATCTGTTTCTTAACATACCATGTTTTTCGAAACATTTCATAAATCTAAGTAACTTTTAAAACAAAACAAATTTGACTCAAACCTGTCAACATTATTGTTTGTGTGCATAGATTTCTCAGTGTTTTGATATTTTGTGTTAAATTGTGTTAAAAAACGAACTAAAAACAAAAAAAACTTCAACAAAAATATTTAGTAGTCGTGGATAAAGTATAGTATTCTACTCCCGTATAATGGCTATTATACACCCGGTGATTTAGGCCACTCGCCTGCGGCTCGTGGCCGTAAACTTCACCTCGTGAATAACACCCATCATTATACGCTCGTTGAATAATATACTATTATGCTACTTATAATCTTTGTACTGTTGTTTGATGTATATCTATTAATTTAGTGGATACTTTAGTGGTTTTTTCGCCTGTTTGTGTCCCAAATGGTAAATAAATAATTAAGTAAATAAATAATTACCTTTGTCTCTGCACCTAAATATGTATCATCAGGGCCCATTAGAAATTTTTTAATATGTACATTTTCTAAAACGTGTGATTTTTTAGCACGTTTTCCATCTGATCGCCGTTTCAATAATGCTTTTAATTTTAAATACTTTCCAATATTGTTGTAGACATTCAAAGTAGCTCTGAACATCGCATATATTAAAAGATTTCATATTTTTGCTTAATTCAGAAAAATATACTAATAGTACATTTTATTGTTATTTATTTTTATTAATTATTTCAGAGTTTTAAAGATATTGACTCGATATGTGAAAAACGCTTTAGATTGATAAATCTGCATTTTTGGGGTGATCCGAATATTTCTACTTGCACCAGTGGCGTTCGTGCGAGAATGCCACAACATTTTTTTTAATAAAAAAAAAATAGTACGCCTCTGACTTTTTCCGGTTTTGATATTTTTTTAGAAATCCACCATCAATTCTCAATGAAATTGTTCTCTTCAACTTCTTTTGTAGGATTCACCGTTTTTGAAGAAAAAAAACATATTTTATTGCAAGTTGTGTCAGTCAGTTGCTGTCAATAATTCTAAATAAAATACAACCATCAAGTTTCATCTTTAAAACTCTTTGAAATAAGTAACAAAAATAAATTAATTAAAATTTAAACGCTTTATCTCGAAAACGAAGCATATTTCGAAAATAATGAAACCATCCCCATTTCCCAATTTTACCGTATAAATTTCCTATTAAATCGATCTTATCCCGGATTATCCTGACCCATCGACCTACCTTACCCCGCAGACCTCACATAATGCAACCCGTAGGGGTGGTGCGTAACGTGGCGGAAGAATTGTTTATTTTCACCCCGCAACGGCTTATATTAAAGCCTCCATATGTCGCCGTACCGCCTTCTCTGATAGACTTTATCCCTTTTCAGTGTTTTTCATCTGTTTCCTGCCTCATCACGTCTTCATGCTGTGGTTCCACCTCTACCCCAACGCGCAGGAGGAGTACAACGACTGGTGGCATGCCCTGCGGATAATAGGATTCTGTCTGAGGTGAGCCACGAGGGGGCAGTACGGGGCCGATGGGGGATTTTACACTTGGGAGGGTCTCGTAATTGATAGGGGGTTATTAGGATTTTTTTTCTGTTTTTAAATTGAAACCGTTTGCCAGGGAGTAGAGTAAACTACACCGAAAGAACAGTTTATGTTAAGTTTAATAAGATTTGTTTCAGAAAAGGTACAATATGTTTTTAAAATACTGGAAAAAGTGCAAAATATACTCAGTGGTAATGGCAAAATTCAACAAAAGTTCATGTTTTTAGTTTCCCAATTAATGAAACCAAAAAAGTAGTCGGTACTGGGAGATAATTTTAAATATTTCAAGTTTTCAAGAAATGGGATACTCGAGACTTCAAGTACTGCTTAATAAAAAAATAATAATATCAAATCTTGCGGGAGGTACAGCTTTGGCAGACAGTATCACAGTGACATGATATATACAGGGTGTCCCATCAGGAATCGCCACTATCGATATCTCGGGAAGTACTGATCCGATAAATCTGAAAATTTGGCAACCTAGCAAAGGCAGTAGGGTCAACACAGCTAAAGTATTTATAATTTTATGGCACTTCCGGTTATACCGGAAGCCGACGTTAATTTTCTTATTGTAAATGGGACACCCTATATATCATTGCACTTTGTTAAATATTCCCTATGCCTAAGAGTTATAGATTTTGAGATATTAATTTTTAAAGAAAAAGTTTGACAGATGCAAGGGTCCGCGGAGATGCTAGTAACTCTTTTCAGCAGCGTGATATCAAGTGGATTTTTGGTACCTGTAAAGGGCATAGGTAACAGTAAATTATGGTATACTAACAAATTGAAACATTTAATACTAGGTGTTTCATTTTTGCTGTTACATTTCGATAACTTCAAACAGCTATAACTTTGTGAACTTAAATGGAACACCCTGTACTTTTTTACTGTGTCGTATGCAGATTGTAATTTCCTTTCAAGCCATGTAGGCACTGTTGGGGTTGCCGTTACTACTTTTTGAGATATTTGCAATTTTCTATTTCTCGGACAGTTTTTCTCATATCAGACTTGTTATTTAATTGGCCAAGTCCAGAAACATTCCAAAAACAATTAAAATAACTTGACATTTGTCACTTACTTAAAACTATATTCTTGTACGTTTGAATACAAGCAGAAGTTTTAGGCATGACATTTTTTCCTATAATTAAAAATAAAATAGCTTTCCCTCTTTTTAACCCCATTTGGTACACAGTACCATTAAATTTTATGTATTAGCGAAACAAAGGAGAAATGAAATAAGAGAAAAACATTCATTAAATTAAACTTTAATTAAATTAAATTTTCATTAAATATTTCTTGCTTTTCGTTTTTTTTAACGCTTTACTGTAAAATTATTATTTCACGTCACGTATAACAACCAAAGCTCGCTGTAAACTAGGACGGAAAAATAGTTGCTCCCACATATTACACTTTGAGAGTATACAACGCTATGCTAAAAGCAAACTTAGTGAACAGTCACGGCATAGACTTCCCATACTTGCAAAAAGGTATTGTCTAACTTTGGGGAGTTATTGATAACCCCAGGCTAGAATGTCAGACATTTCTTGTTGCCCTACTCTGTTCATTCGCAAGTTGTTGAAGGAACTTTAATATTCTAATACTACTCAAATATGATATTAGTTTTGGAAATTTTCTGATACTTCTGATACACTTTGGAAGCAACATGGAAAATATATTGACCATAACGTCGAAAGTTTCATTTTATTAATTTTATGTTCGAAATATGTCAGTAATACCGCGGACACTTTTTGAATTTTCTTCGAACTACACCACCCTTTGAATCCGTTGTAGGCAATATCGTACTGTCTCCACGACTTTTTGGGGATTAATTGTGAAACAGCACTTTGTGCCGCTCCCAATACTGCCCCTGGTAGATGCTCGTCTTCACTTTTCGAGCTCATTTTGAATTAAACACACTTAGAATATGAAATACAATATATAATTCTGACACTACTTTTTCAAACAACTAAGTTTTATTGTTTATTAGGTTGCTTAGGTTGCTATTGTTATGATAGTCATCGCGCCTAAACCGTCTTGATTCAAACACGGTCCAAAACGATTTCAAATATAAATTTAATTGTTGTATATAACACAATTGTCTTATTTTATTGTGGTTTTCGAAAAAATATTGCTTCCATCTCGAGCGCGAAATACTTTTGCGTTCTAGATACAGAAATAACTATTACGATTTAAAGTAAGAAATTTTAAATTCAGTATTGATATATTGATTTGGCAATCAAGGATTACAAAGCCACCTATGACTCGGTTTTTTAATTTTAAAGAATAAACAGAGGTCTGTCGATTTAAAAAAAATTATACTGCTTTCTTGTAGTGAGCATTTTCTTTTCAATTTTATGCTTGCCTAATCTCAGTTTGACTTTGATACATTAGGTATACAATTTTTTTTCGATTCTACACCATTAGAGACATCTTATTTAAATAAAAACAATAAAATGAAGAGGCGAGTGTTTCGCCCAATTAACCTTAGTGGTTTGTCTTTGTACTCATCTACCATGCTCTTGACATATCATGTCAATTGTAGAGTCAACTTGCATATTCCAGTTGTGTAAACAATGATCAAGCACGTGAGGTTGTGAAACTATTGGTCAAAACAGATTGCGCAAAATTATTTTCATAAAAACAACTCTTGACTAATTCTTTACCCTTGCACCAAAACCCCTTTGCTTCATTTTCCTCACACAATATTATTACTTTGTAAGTCACGTCAAAGCCCATAAAATGAGAAGGGAAAACATAGGACCAGCAAAATAAATATTCCATTATTATAACTAAATTTCCTACAACCACAAACGTTTGCGATATTAAAATATTCTAATGAAGTTACATATTTATATAAAAGGGTCCCGCTTTCCTTTTTAACATTAAACCGCGCCAAGCGACAGCTACATTCTTCCGTGAGCATGAATAAATAGCCTAACAATTCATTATTCGCATTATGAAACCCATAAATTTACAAACGTAAGACATGCGGGTGTGGTATATCTTAATTTCGGTTTCGGCGGCAATTTTTCCGTGATGTGGAAGGGACAGGAAACTTTGTTGGATGAGTCGCGCTTTTATTTTGCGCTTAGTCATCTGGAACTCGACAAGCAACCGAGGGAAAGATGTACTTTTTGCGCGGGGACAGAAAAAAACTTTAAAACGGGGATGTAATGAAATTTGAAAAGTTTCGTGTTATTGAGGAACTTTCTCCTTAAGTCAATAAACTTAATTTGCGACGATTCGAGCACAAATTGTAATTGTAATGGACCAAATTGTATTTCGTATATTTGTTGCTCATACTCCAAAAAAATAAGGTAAATTACTTATTAAAGCATACAATTATTTTTTTGTAAGCTGGTAGGACTGTCCTTGATGTCTATGCAGAATTATAACAAAAAAAAGGATAAGAAAGTAATTAACTACAAAAGAAACGTACAAACTTACAAATAAAAGAAATATAAAGGTTATTGGTGTTTATTTTATACAATATCTTATGGTATTCTGCATAAATTAAACCATATACTTGTAAGTTAGCCATGACGTCGTTTATAACAAAATATACTCGTAGGGTCAAATACCTATTTTGTAAATATGATTGAAAAAGTTGCAACAGTAGGTTAAACACAGCAAACTTATCCAGTTTGGACAACAAGATATCGTGGTTGAGTCTGGTAGCATCCACTTTCATCTTATCAAGTTTTTCATTAATAATTTGAGTTTTCTGGACAAAGTAAGGATATAAGAAGCATAAGAAAACGTATAATAAAAGTACAATAAACAGACAATTATTTGAGTGATTTTCAGACAGACAAGAGAAGACAAAAAGTTCATATAAACATTGGTCCGCAGATGCTTCGTTTTCAAGATACACTCTAATAATCGTATGTTGGATTTATTGTACAGACTTAATTAACACTGTATAATCAGTAAAAAATGTGTTCGAATTTTTTATTTTTTTTGGTGTGGGGTTCCTCAAAAAAAAACGAAATGCTGGCCGGGTTCCGTATACAGGGTCGGAAAGTCCCCATGGTTCATTGGCCGTTACGTGAGAGCGATAAAGAAAGTCATAGAAATCCGTGCAATAGAGAAAGATGGCTATAATGAAGGCGTCTAATAGTCACCGCCCATATATGCCATATTTGGCTTAATTGGTTTAATTTTATCGCATCATAAACCTCATTTGGTGAAAAATTTGATATACTTAGCACATTAACTTTTGTTGTTGTTGTTACAAAATGACCTTTACCGAGTTTTATATGACACAAATGTGTGAATGAACTTTAATATTTTGATAATCTACAGGAAAAGCTAGCAAAACGCTGTACAAGCATCACGTGGATATGCCGAGCATTTACTGCCCAGGTTCTTCCCCACCACTTGCAGATTTGTTATATTAAAGTTTTAGAAAAATTAATTCCTAACTATCGTTATACCGATAAAGTCAAAATGAATACAGGGTGTCCCCATTCCACTTCAAAAAAGCCGATATCTCTATTATCTTTTCCTTAATTTGTACACGAATAAATATTAAGAAAAACGTGCAAGTAATTTTATTCTCAATAGCAGTGAACTGGATATGGATAGTTAGAGGTGTATAATTGAGGAAAAAATAAGTTAAAAGTCAACATTTCTTAAACATCCTGAGCTATAAACGTTAATACAAAATGTTGTATGTGTGGCAGGATATGTAGACATTTAATAATTATTTTTTGTACCTAAACCGCTCATTTAATGAGAATAGTATAAGAGACAAAAACAAAAACCTTCTAAGTAGTATTAGCTACCAACTGAAAAATGTATGTCGATGCATCAAAACCACTGTGGGGTACAAAACAAAATGTGTTAATAAGAAAACAAAAGCCTATAACCGAAAAATAATCAAAATCGATTAACGCCTGTTGAAGTTAATTTAAAAAATGGGAATTTCGAGGCCATCTAGCGACAAAACGAAACGA